GCCTATTTTAGGAGAGTACGATTCAATTTTTGAATGTATTATTATAACAAAGAAAAAAGGACAAGAAAGAAGAAGCTATATTGTTTTATATAAAAGAGATAGAATCCTCAGAAATCTTTTTCATAGGGAATTTCTCACTTTTGGTGGTTTAGTTTCACTAAAAACGCGGATCGTTCTCACAGCAAAAATCCTTTCATGGACTTTTTCGAAGGAAAAATCTGTGCCATGGATCCACAACAAGTACATAAAGCGTAGCTGATAGCGTAACCGTAGACTATGAATTCGGGACCACAATTAAATAAGTAGAAAAAACCCTTCTGTAAATGAAGTAGCCGGTCAGCAACTGCAGAGGTATGTAGTACTACTTCCGCTACTCAAAAAGTGGAACACTGTAATCAAGGCTGTATGGCTTGCACTAATGCACTGTCACCGAGGCGAAGAGGGTAATGTCTGCGTCTTGCTCGATTCCTAGGCTAGCCCGTCCACAAGTCTACTCTCAAATCGGCGCCCAGACCTCAGGCTGTCCGTCTAGTAGACCTCAATGACACTTGTTCGTTTGCCAAAGAAAGGCCCTTATTTTTGTTTTCTTTTCACCTTCTTATCCCTTTCTTCTCATTTACGGTTTCCGTACCTCTTTCCATGTTTGAAAGGAAAACCGCATCAATTTGTCCATGGAATGTACCTCTAATGAAACATTCAGGAGTTGGCGAACAACGAGCTGACGGATCGACTAAATATCTTACAAGAAAAGCATGACAGAGCTGAGAATCAAAGAAAACGATTGCAAGAAGACATGGAGAGATTCGAGGAGAAATACCTCGCAGAAATGCGACAAAAAGACGACTTTGAAAGAGGTACTATCCAGATTCAAATTATCGCAGACCGACGCCGATATCTTATAGGTTTAAATCAGAAAATCAAATAATTTTTTGAGCTGAAAGCAGGGACCACGGAGATAGGCATTGGCTTTGAGGTTAGGCAATACCTTAGAGGCACGCACCGGATTTAGTCTATTGGAGTCTTCTGTATGGTTGGTAGGATAGTTTTGCGAAGTTACTGACACCTAATAACGTGCTTGAAAAGGACTACGAGGACTGCTAAGGCCTCTGAGGCAATAGTGACTAACAAGTAATCCGAATACTACAAATCATGCTCCCTGGCAATGTGGTGCATCTGCCTGTCTTCCTCACACGCCATTAATACCGTTTCGTGTATTCTCGCTTCTTTGCGCGTTGTGCCGCTCTGCCGTACCACGGCCAACCTTACAAAAGGCTTGAGCCCGTAATTTTAGGTGTTTTTGATGGTTTCTGCTCCTTTTTCAGTGCTTGCTCACTACTGTCATTCTCCCATGCGAGCTTTTTACGCACTTCACCCTTCCCGCTGAGCCGTTCCCTTCAAGTAGTCACATAGGCAAACATAGAGAAATCACGCTAGCACTCGCATTATTTTAAGGTCACACTACGTCGAGCTAACTATTGCAGGGCCCTGATGCTTCCCCATTTTAAAAAATCCACTTTCTCATTTAGAGATCGCTCTGGCAAATAGCTCTTTCGTATATCAAGTCAAGAATGTAACTTTTCTGAGAGAATTCATACTGTAGTAGTTTGTATTTACCAACAAGAAATCTAGAAAAATCAGTTGAATAGCGCTCCGCATGCAACAACTCACATACTGCTTCAACAAGAAAGCACTGCGCCGTCCGATCGAACGGTAAACATATTTTTCCAATTAAATTACCGAATGCATTTGTAACCGTACCCCATTACTTGTTTGCTTCGTTTTTTTGTTATACGTTGATGTTCACTTTCTCACGGAACCCCATTATCAGAGATCTAAGCTCGTCGACTCCATAAGCCATAACGCTTCTACTTTAGAAAATTTTTAATTTTAATCCAAAGTACCCTGAGGCTATTCGTTACATCACTGTCTACAGCTGTCGTTAAGGGCGGATGGATTTACATCATCTTATTCCGATTCATTAGACATGACGTGGTAACGTTTCTTACTGATTACTGAACTCGCGACTAAATTTGCCAATTTCCGGAGTTTTTTTCTATGTAGGTTGAACAGTAAGGCGAGGTTTCATATTCAATAAATAAAATGTGCTTGTGAATTGTGAACGGAGTTCGCTTGATTGGAGAGGTTGCTACGTTGAGCCACTGATTCTCTTTCAGTTCACCGCCACGAAGGCTTATCAATTCGAGCCACTCAGGCTCCCTATAACCAACCACTTAGGCTCTTCTCACTATGCCACTTAGGCTATCTTCGGTCAACTCTGTTGAGCCTAGGCCCTTCCTCTTGCGGGCCTCTGCAGCTCCCAAAGAACCTCCCACATCGACTACTGGACCCCTTTTATAGAGACCTTTCCCGCAAATCGTTTGCCTCAGAGGTGGTCTCTCATGACCACCGGCGACCGACTATTACTGCCTCTCCCATGACCTACAGTGTCATATGCTGCAATGATCTCTCGTTGTGAGTTAGGGCCACGTATCCTGACAATTTAGGCTGGAACTTTGTCGATGAAAATATATTGTAAGTATGTGATTATGCTAGCCCTATCCGATGGAGGCCCTTTGTGAAGAGGGTGGACGAGATTTCGTGGTGGTGACATAGAGTAATGGACTGAAGGAAGATGTATTAACCTCCCCTTCAAAAAGCGAGAAAGTGTCGGGTGCAGACCAAACACCACAACTGACGACGGCCTCCAAGTAAATCTGGTTAGAAGTTGTTCATAGTGATAGCTGATTTTGGTAAATGATAGTTGTAATTAGTGACAACTGATAGAATACAACTGCAACAGGCTAATCATTTCATTGGCAGAAAACATTTACATTTTGTGAAGGCCGTCGTCACTTGTGGTGTATGGTCTGCACCCGACATCTGTTTTGAATAAGTGAATAAACAAGCTTGTGAGAGCTCACACGAAAAAGTTACTATTTACAGGAAAGAAGAGAGATATCGGTCAACTGAAGACCCGTGCAGCCAACGATGCAAATTTGATCGCAAAACTCAAAGCGAACATACGCCGACTCATCGATCGCATACAAGAACTAGAAGAAGATCTGGACTCGGAAAGGAAATCGAGGTGTAAGGTAAGTAAGTTCTTTTCGCGTAACCTCAAGCTTTGCTAGCAGCAAAGATAGCGGAGGTTATTATGTGGTAACCAACCATGAGGATCACTACCCTTAGCACCACAGCTAGTTAGGGATCAGTCAGCCTATTCCGAATCTTCTATCGGGAAGCAATTCACAATCTAGATTGACCATTCCTGAATTTTAGCTGCGAATGAACAGGTGAACTGAACGGCGGATTTGGCTCTAACTAGTATTTCTGGGGGCTAACACACGGGCGGGGCAAAAAAAAAAGACTTTTGCCCATGTCGCACTTCGCCCTTTTTTCTTCGCAGAGATTGCCGTCGTTGACGGAAGTTCTTCAGCAAAGTATTCCCTAAATGTTCCTCTATAGTTAGACGCAGGCCCTCCTTCACTGCCCTCACCGTCTTCAGAATATGACGTCATCTGTCACCGTCGTCAGGCTCAAGGAGGTCTACCGTAAGAGCTTCAGCCTGAAGCTCTTACGCAATTTCGTGAATCGATTTAATGTTGGATAGTTTTCTAGAGGCATTAGCTCCACTATGTGCCCCTCGGAAACGAGCTTTTCCAGTAAAGGTCGTTATGGTACACGATCCTTCGAAGACCCCATTGAGCACGACCAGTGCACCATGTTTCCAGGGCAAATTCTTCTGATGCCGTCCACGTAGGTGGCCACCATAAAGATTTTTTTATAGAATGGAATGCGCTCTTAATACACGTGAGGGACCATCGCCGGTCCTAGGTGAGCCAAAGTGTGACGTAATTCATGCTAATGCGGACGAACAAAATGTCTATTTTGATCTGCCTGCATTCACTAACATTCGTAGAAAATCGCGTGCTTTTCTCAATCAATACCACTATTAATAGTACTTCCATTCCATGAGCCAGGATATTTCATGCCCTATTTTTTATTCGCTCAGGCTGATCGTCAACGCATGGAAATGCAAAAAGACCTGGAAGCTATTCAATGCCAGATGGAGGAAGCCTCTGGTCAACTGACCGCCCAAGTTCACATCAATAGGATTCACGCCGAAGAGGTGAGGGTTATCGATTTCTCAACAGAAATTGCTCCTCCTCCTCACCATTTTTCCAATAAAAAAATTAAATCCTTTGGTTTTGTTTCAAGGCTTTCATTCAAAATAATACTTAGTACTATAAAAAACCCAAATGTAAAAATAAAGATGGAATATTGATCAAATTTGAATAATGATTTTCAAAGCAATGAAGAATAGAGGATTTAACACTCGGTTTTGATTAATCTGTTTTTGAGATGCGCCCTGCCGTCTACTTCCATTCAGAATCGTACTCTCATTTGAATGTGATTTGCAATCTCCATGTACGGCTTTGGATAAACCTCGGCTGATGGCGCTGTTAATATCTTCTTGACTCTTCACGAGCTTGATAAATGACCTTCATTGGGCTAACGTTTCGGCTTTTCGGATCGCCTTCTTCAGAGCCTGAAAGGGTCGAAACAATTTATGACTACCCGACCAAATGTCTTAGCAACCCTACTGAAGTTCGAGACCAAACAACTCATCACGCAATCCAAAGGTGGGCCACCTACCGTAATACAGTCCAGTTGTCGAGACCACCAGAACAGCAGTGAGGCGATCGGACTGTTTGTGATTCAAAGTCACAGGTGGAAGGCCACCTTATATAGCCTCAATTTCCGAGGTGAGGTTTTCTTCGCTAGGGACCGAGCGCACTATTCGAGATCAAACCCGGACTGAATCTCCGTCCCCCTCCCCACCCCCAGTTCAGCCAAGTGTTTCTTCTTTCTTGGGTCGGTCAGTTCATGCCAGATTCTGTCTGAAAGGATGCAATACTGACTTCCATATTGGCTGGCCCGACAGCCATTGTATAGCCAAATCGAATTCAATTGCCACAAAGATGTATGAATGTAGGAGGAGGACGGGGCACATTTATGAAGGCAGAAACAGTCGGTGCATTTTTCGAACAAATAAGGATTTGCTGGCAACATCATATCTCATCTAATCCAACACTGCCATTTTCGCCGTTTTAGACAGAAATATTATTTGAAACCAATTTCCAGTTCTAAGTTTATCCTAATAATCCACGGCATGATATCTTAATTTTTACCTGAATGAATTACCACTAGTACCTCTTGCATAAGAATTGATCAATATTTTCAGTTGGCAAATTTACAACGTGAAATCGAATTGAAAAGTATGAATCGCCAAGCGTACATCGCTGACATCTGCTCGATGCAATACACGACCGTGAACAACCTGAGAAACGCTCAGTAAGCAGGTGAGAATATTCGAGTTTCACAGGCCGTGGCCATATGCAATTCATTCCACGTCGACTTATCCTGGGTTGACATAGTCATTTTTATTGAAGGGCTATAAGCCCAACGCGCTTAATTTAGCACTTGTTTCAGCCTTTACATAACATCAAAATCAGGGTGTCTCGCATACTCAGCCAAGAAAGTTGTTGACTGAACACGTGACTCTGCCGCGTGATTCCACAATCAAAATCAAAAGCGGCGTCCGCTCATTGCGTTAAAGGGAAACAATCAGGGTTGAAGCTGATGTGGTATCCACTCAAATATGAAGCAGAGATGTTAAGGCGCTGTTAAGTGGAGAAAATGGACAAATAATATTGAAATGCTACAGGAAATACGACGCTTCATTGCTCCTACACTGCAGGGAAGTTCAAGGGCACAGGCAGGGTAATGAAGTAAGACAGCGGAGCAGCGTAAGAGGATGTCCGAGTAGGTGAGCCATGTTAATTCGTGGAATCTGTTAGGAGTCCTTAGCGCCTAGCATCTTAGTGACGCATTTCGATGGGAGAAAGTGGCGCGACCTCTGCATTAGCCTACCACACTTCTGTCTCGAGAGCGACTACTTCAGTACGGCTAAACCTGAAGCTTGCCCTTCACTACTATGGATATGTTTATCTCCTTTTTGGTGAACTGAGGAAAACTCTAAAACTCTATGGGAAATCTTGTAATCAGTACGCTAGTAGGCGCTGAGTCTTACAAAGTGCTCCTCAATCCCTGGCAATTTTGACGAAATTAGGAGTCAAAGCCTCGTCAGAAGATGGAAGGTGTTGGCGAAACCACAGCTGACGGCAATGCACGTGTAGTTGGCTATGGCAATCGGATTTGGGATTTTGAAGAGTTTTGATATTCTTTCGCTGAAATCGAAGCTTTTAAAGCACGCTACGATCATTAAACTGGCGTGGTTCTTGCGCATGATTATGTTATGCATTGGTGCAAGTGGGCCGGCAGTAAAGAAAAAAGGAAAAGAATCCGTCAAAAACGCTCAGGTTAAGGGCTCACTCACCTTTGTAATGCGGCTGTGCTAAGGCAATGAGAGACTGAGCGCGGAGAGGAGAGTATGAGGCGAGAGAGCGCAACAGATGAGAGGGCGCCAGACAACAGCCTGCTGCGGACGGGGAACATTGCAGCTGCTGCAGCTAACTTTGCAAGGCCCTAGCCCTTGTCGGGCGATTTCCATGCATGAGAGTGCCACATCTGTGATTGTCCTCTGGGCGTCTATCTAACAGACTGAAGAGAATAGTTCACATGACTTCTGCCTAGGTTGTGCCTTTGAGTACTCTTTCTTTCCCATTCCTCTAATCTACTCGACTACCAGTCGTCCACCTTTATTGGTTACTTTCATCTTATATCGCTATATTCAGGCCGCACATCTGGAATCGGAGGCAGGCCGTGTCCTTTCCGCTCGTCATTCGATACTGAATCTAACTGGCGTACCGCGCGTCTACTTGGACTCAGCCGGTTCAGAAGACGAAGAAAGCTCCATTTAAAGTTCCCAACCCAAGTACACCAGCTAATTATGACATCTGTTACCGTAGTAAGTCGCACTGTATGCCCCTGCTAGAGCTGACACATTACCCGACTATATATTGATTTATCGATCGCTATGACGACTTATTCTCTTGTGAAATCACTATTTACCATAATTCGCAATTGATTTACCTCACAACATTGTAATCTATTGTTTACGATATAGAGCGCTTCGATCAATTAATGGCAGTGTGAATGTTAGCTGAAAGCCATTTATCTTCACATAAAGTAATATTGATAAATTTTGAAAACAAGTAGTTGAAAAAGCTTGTTATGCTTTGTGATACGCATCAAAATGTGTCCTTAATTCCGACTCCAGTGGTGTGCGTGGCGCATCATAGAGTGAGCTTCAGTAATGCGGAAAACATACCGTAGTGTAGCTGTCACATTAATCGAGCTCCTCGCACGAAGCAAGAACATTAGTGGGAAGATTTAGTACTGTATAATGGCCCATTAGGAGATGCGCAATGGGTGTTCGCCTGAATTATGATGATCGCAACTGTTAGCGAACAAGCGCTTTTCGGGTTGGGACCGGATAAAAAGCTTCGCAGTGGAGGTTGCAGGACTCGTCCTGAATTTTCAGGGGTCATGGAATCAAACTAGTGTGGCTCTTGGACACGAAAATGAAAGTGGAGTCAGCCAGCGGTGAAGAAAAAGGGCAAAAATCTGTGAAAAAATTCACGTCACAGGGG